AGGGGGGGGGGGGGGGGTGGAGGTGAAAAGCTAAGCTAGGGGTTGCGACACCTTTCATGCACATTAAAGAACTCATTTCTGTGTGGATTTTTCTGTAAAACGTTAATTAAAGGTAAAAAAAAAGAGAGTACATTTTCAGTTCCCATGGACTCTTAAACTATAGAAATAACTAATCTTTGGCGGCCTTTTTCTCACTAATTTACCCTCTGAAAACAAGTGACCCCCACCTCCTTCTTTCGCAAATATCTCGACTTTTATTCAAGATAAATGGACATTTTTTTCATCCAAATAAAGACAAGTGAACAAGCTTTAAGATGATACCAATAACTTTACATGCCGAAATATTGACGAGAGCCTGATTCCACCACGCTTCCTCACATTTCATTGTAGAGTACGAAGACAGCATTCTTCCCGTTCTTGGCCCCGAGTACGTGGAATACGCTGCTCCCCATCCAGATATAGGCGGCCACGAGGAAGCAGTACCAGCAGCTTCTTTTGATGGCGTCCTTCACGATCTTCTTCGAGTTGAACGGAAGCTTGGCGGCTTCCATTTTGGATCTGCTTGTCTTCACTGCCACGGGGTTTCATACCCTCAGTGTTTGGCGTACCATCGAGTCGTTTCAAATAGATCGGCAGCTCTTTAAGTTTGATTAAAACTGAACGATTTCTCAGAGTCTGTTGTTATATGAGATAGAACTAGGACTAAGACTAGAAATCTAGGAATTAGGAGGTGATTGCTCAAGACTCAAAACTTGAGATACCTCACCTGGCAATCTCGACCTACCAATATTGCTAGAATCTAAATCTAGATTCTCTTCGTTTTCAATCTCTGTCCGAGTGAGAAAGACGCCAGTTTTGATTAAACGTGTGCGCTCTAGGCTCTATGTTAAACTTCAGATATCCTACCTTTGCTGATTAACTAGAACATATTTGTATGATATATTATTATAACTAGAAATCTCGTCGTTGTTATTTTGTTTGAACTCTAGCTATTTCTCTGCATTTCCGTTCAACATCGTGCGCAGTATGGTTGGCTGCATATCGGGAAAACCAATTAGATCTCTAATGACAATGATATATTTGCAGAATATTATTACTTATTTATGTTATCATTACATGGATTGATAATATGATGATTGTAGTTGTGGTTATTGTTGATGTAGTTTTGCTACTACTTCTACAACTACAACTACAACTACAACTACAACTGCAAATGCAACTACAGCTACTGCCACTGCCACAACCCCAACCATAGCCGCCACCACAACCACCGCCACCACAACAACAACAACAACAACAACACCAGCACGCTCTTCGGGGCTCCAAACATTTCGAACGGATAGGTTACCACACACACACACACACACACACACACAAAACAACAGCAACAACAACAACAACATACTACTACAATAGCAGCAGCCACCGTCACTGCCATTATTTCAAGAACTGTTATTAATAATCATCAGTATCATAACAAGAACTAATATCATTGTCCTCCCAACCCTATTGTCTGGTCCTGTAGTGACCTTGGCGTGTAGTGACCTTGGCGGTGAACCAAAACCATGGCAATATCGTAATCATTTCCAAATGAAATGCCTCGGGAGAATTAAAGGCAGGAGAGACTTAATTAATAACACCCCAAAATGGCAAAAGCCGAGAGTCTGTTGTCTAATCTCCAGAGTACTCAGCTTCGGTGCTAGGCTGGCCAATAAGTCGTAAGTAAGAATTCCTGATTTCAGAACCGCAAAGGTAGAATTGCATCCTCAGCTGTCGTCAGGGTAGCGTTAAGTTTGAGCACAAAAAGCTACAATTCGGAACCCGAAGATGCCTCTGAAGGACTCCAAAAATAAAAATAATAATGATAACAATAGTAACAATAGATCGCATTTATATAGCGCTCTATCCCATACTTGTATAAGCTCTGAACACTTAACACCAATCACATAATCATTCACACAAGAAAACAATATTTCACAGAAACAAGAAAAACCAGTTCAACCACATAAACAAGAACTTTCACAACCATACATTGACTATACACGAAAGGACAAACACACACACACACACACACA